ATTTATCCCACAGGAAATGGGCAGGAGACTCAGCCCACATGTTCTGGGATGTGACAGGCTCTGATGCACCATGATTCTGGTCCATACGGAGTTTTTAAATAGATCTCACCTGGTGTGGGACCGGGCCATCCTGAGGAAACAAAGGCACTTTCTTGGTCCAATATTTGGGGCCACCAATCCTTCCTGTGTTAATTCACAGAACTTGTTTGAAAGGATACCTTTGGGATGCTGCTCTTGAGCCTCCCCTGGCTTCTATGTAGAAATGTCTGGCACTGGGCTCTGTGTGCTGCAGGCAGTCAGTGCCTGCTCTGCTGGAGGGCAGCCTGGTACTCATGGTAATTTTTTGCCTCTTTTTGTAAGATCCTCTTAGGAAACTTATTGTCTCAGTTTCTCCACACCCTGATCTACCCTTCTTCCCACCGAATCTTCTGGACTTTTTCCCATTTGTGATTCTGGCCAGTTTATGTGGTCTTGTGAGCATGAGTGAGCATGCATGTCAGTGCCCTGTGTCTGGTTGTAAGTAGGTGCAAAGATGAGGGAGGCATTGTGTGTGAGCTTCTTTCCCTTGTTGTGTGTATCTTCTAGGGGTTCATAATTGGGAGAGCGTGTCTCAGAATGTGACTTACCAGGGAAGAAGATCTTGGTAGCTATTCTGATACCTCTGAGAGGGATCCTGAAATGATGAAGTGGCACAGAAGAGAGGGAGTTTAGAAAGAGGCCAGAGATCCCTAGCTGGTTTAACTCAGTGGATAAAGTATCAGCCTGTGGACTAAAGGGTCCCAGGTTTTATTTCAGTCAAGGGCACAGGCCTGGGTAATGGGTTCGATTCACAGTGGGAGGCATGCAGGAGGCGGCCAATCAATGATTCTCTCTCATCATTGATGTTTCTATCTCTCCCTCTCCCTTTTCTTTCCTCTCTGAAATCAATAAAAATATGTTGTAAAAAAAGAAAGGCCAGAAGTCAGAGCCCCACTTTCAGGCTTCCATGCTTCTGATCACACACATGTTATCTCATACATGCTAGCATCCTCTGCTGGGACCTCCTACTCAATCAAGAGAGGGGGGGAAGAAAAGAAAAGGAAGGAAGGAGACAGGGAGGGAAAGGTAAAGAAGAGAAAAGAGAAAAAGGGAAGTGAAGGGGAGGGGAGGGGAGGGGAGGGGAGGGGAGGGGAGGGGAGGGGAGGGGAGGGGAGGGAAGGGAGGGAAGGGAAGGGAAGGGAAGGGAAGGGAAGGGAAGGGAAGGGAAGGGAAGGGAAGGGAAGGGGAAGGGAAGGGAAGGGAAGGGAAGGGAAGGGAAGGGAAGGGAAGGGAAGGGAAGGGAAGGGAAGGGAGGGAAGGGAGGGAAGGAAAGGAAGGGAAGGAAGGGAAGGGAAAAAAAGGAGGGAGGAAGGAAGGGCAATTTTGTACCACACGACAGGGCAGTGACCATGGATAAATATGTATTTTAGGATCCAGTACACCTGGTTTTAAACTCTAAATTGAAACTCATGTGATCTTGTGTGAGTTACTAATTTTTCTAAGTGTATATTTCCTCTTAAAAATGGGGAAAACTATATGTCTTCCTAAGTGTTATTATCATGAGATAATTTGTCCCTTACGTCTTGCATTTGGTATATCTTGCCCATGGTAGATCCTGTACATAGTAGATATTCAATGAAATAACTTCTTTTCTTGTCTTTTATTTTTTTCACATGCACTTGTTGTTGGCCTCCCAAAGCAATTCACTCAAACATAGGGGCTCTGGAGGGAAGGAAGAGGTTCCCATATTTTCACTGCTTTGAGATAAAAGCCCAGTATTAGTCCTTTCCTGTCTACAATTGGTACTTTTTAGTTACTCAGAAGACTGTTAAATCTCTGCAGTGATCAACTGTGCAGGCAACCGGATACTAGATTGTGTGCATCTATTTCAACACTTATGTTCTGCAGGCATAGTGGCTGATGGGATTCCCTGCTGTCAGTAAGAGTCTGAAAGGGCATCAGCTATGGTTTAATGGAAGCTTTGCTCAACCCTACATGAAATGCTTTTAACTTTGCGTTACTTAACTCCATGATGGCCTATCAAGCACCTGTATTATTCCCAGTTTAAGGAGGTGTGGACTGAGGCTTAGAAATTTTAAAAGACATACCCAAGACCATCCAGCAAATAGCATATCTGGGAATCAAATCTGGGTAATTGACTCCAGATCTCATGTTCTTAACCCTCATCCTGAACTCATTCCACCTCAGAGTAGATTGCCTACACCTTGGAATGGAAATGGACATTCACAATGAAAACTTACTTTAGCCTCCTGTGCCTTGTAAGAGGAATGCCATTTTTCATATAAGTAAAAAAATGAGTCTCAATTTTAGGTTTTCTACAGACTTTGTAGGAAAGGAAGGAAACAGAAGGCTGGACTTCTGGTGTCCTTGCTGGTCCCTTTAAAGGGGTTTAAGGGGTCCTTTGGTTTGGAGGAGGACCATATGACCTTTAGGAAATAGAACATGAGATCTGGATTCCTGGGGCCAAGAAGGCAACACAGAGCCAAAGGGCCCTGCAGGAAAAAGGGAGGGTGAAGTCATGAGGGCTGATGGGACCTGAGCAGCCTGGTGGAAGGGGAGATGGCCAGCAAGGCCTATGAGATTACTTAAGAGAATCTAACACTCAATAGGAACTGTTTTGTGATTGTGGTGTTAGTCTTCTCCATTTCCCCAAACTCCACAGAAGTCTGTTTATACACACAGGTGTCTGTGATTGGCTGAGTTACAAGTCTGGGTCTGTGCTGAACTGAGAGAGAAGACCTCAGCCTCAGAAGATGATACACAAATGGGAACAAGAGAGAGCAGGTGCTCAGACAAAAATTCTTCCAAGAATCTAAGTCCTGACATTTGCAGATGCTGTCTGTGTATATGAGGGTGGTGGATGACTATAGACTATTTTATTTCAATCTCATGGTATATGGTGACTTTGCTGATGTCTAGGCTACTCTGGAGTTTTTTTTTATTTGTCACAGATATGTGATTTGAAAGAAAAATTGTGTTATAGTGGACATGGTTGATGGGAGAGAGATTAGACTGCATGTGTGTGCCTGTGGAGGAGGGAAGTCACTAAGGAGAATAGAAAAGAATCATAAAGGCAACATATTGTAGAAGAGAAAGGATCTGTGGTTCTTAACCTTTTAAGGGGTTCTAGATCACCCTGAAAATGTGATAAATATTATGGGCTTTTCCATAAAAACAAAAACAAAAACATTTATGTGCCAAATATTTTGTAACAAGGTGAACTCTGAGCCCATCAGAGGACTCAAGGTTGAGTTCCCAGTGCTTAATGACTGTTCTGTGGCTGGGTAGACACTCAATTAGTGAAAATGTTTTCTCCTGGAGCTCCAGTTGTGGGCCTTTGTCCAACAGCACTTGAGCACTGGGGTGATGAACTGGGAAAAGTTTTCCTAACCTCTAAGGTGGGCTAATTAGAAAAGGTGACCTAACTGAGGTGATAGTGCCTTATAGGGCTGGGACTTGGTATTATGAGCTGAAGTTTATCTCTTTATAATCCATCTTTTGAAGTCTAAACTCCCAGGTCCTCCAAATGTGACTGTATAGATATTTCCAGACGCACTATAGTTGGAACTACGATTTTTTTTTTTTACTTTTCAATGGTATGAAAGCTATACATATTCAGTAAAAACTATTTTTTGGATTTTGGATTTTGACCTTTTCCTGAGTGAGTGATATATAGCAACATACTCTCTGGTGATGCTGGACAGAAGCAGCCAGCCTCAGCTCCCTGTCAGCCACACAATCACTAGCCTAAACAACCCATTCTCCATAGTGTAGTACTTAATGCATTTTTTACTCAGGATATTTTCAATTTATGATGGTGTTTTGGGGATGTAACCCCATCATAAGTTGAAGAGCATTTATATTTGAAGATAGGGCCTTTAATAAGGTGGTTGAGGTTAAATGAGGTCATGTGGATGTGCCCTAATAAAATATAAGTGGTGTTCTAATAAGAAGAGCTATGAGGAAAGAGACACACACAGAGGAAGATCATGTGAAGACACAGGGAGGAAGACAACCATCTACAAGCCAAGGAGAGAGGGCTCAGGAGAAACAACCCTGCCCACACCTTGATCTTGAATTTCCAGCATCCAGAACTATCCTATATAATATAAGCCTAATATACTAAGTGTTGTGTCATCTCTGGTCAATATATTAATAATATGCTAAGCCCGCTCAGCACTCGCTATGATGTACAATGACCACCAAGGTGCAAATGCTCGACAGGTAGGTTAGCTTGCTGTTGGGGTCCAGCCAATCGGGACTAAGCAAAATGGGCCAGACACACCCTGGAGCCCTCCAGTCTCCCTCCCCCCGCAAGATAGCCAACCTCCTACATCTCTCCCTACCCCTGATGGTACACTAGTGGGGACCCTTGGCCTGGCCTGTACCCTCTCATAATCTGGGACCCCTCGGGGGATTTCAGAGAGCTGGTTTTGGCCCAACAGCAGAATGACGGGTGGGGGTAAACACTCAATACAGGAGCTGCTCCATGATGTTCCCACCAGGAGCACTGCTCAGCCAGAAGGAGGGCTCATGGCTGGAGAGAGCAACAGTGGTGGCAGGAGCCTCTCCCACCTTCTCCAGAGCGCTCAAGATGTCTGACTGCTGGCTTAGGCTTGCTTCCCATTGGGAGTGGGCCTAAGCCAGCAATTGGACATCCCCTGAGGGCTCCCAGTCTGTAAGGGGGTGCAGGCTGGGATGAGGAACCACCCCTCCCCCTCGAGTGCACAAATTTTGATGAGATAATAAATGTCTGTTGTTTATTCACCCAGTCTGTGGTATTTGTTCTGGCTGCCCAAGAGGGCTAATATTCCTGGTAAACAAGGCCTGAGCTCGTTTCACAGCCAACATGCTCTCTTGGCTAAAAAAATTTCTGCAGCAAAGTACACAACTTGCCAAGGTGAGCATGAGTATATTGGCACTTTCTGGAACTCACTTGCAGGGCAAATTATGTTACTTATCAAGATGCCTCCCCAGAAGGGATAGCCTCCATAGAATGAGACAACGGTGTAGTAGTAGTACCAGGAAACGATCATGCCTATGATACTGCCGAGGCCAATGTGTATCAGGCCAATCAGGATCTGGATGGCCTGTCAGGGGAGCCAAAAACTGAGACCTTTGTCTCTAAGGCCGGATCTTAATCCCTGCACCCTTGGGCCTCCTTTTTATTTTAATAAATATTTTGTTCTCTTGATCAATAAAGTCATATTTAAAATGTACTCATGAAATAATACTTCCCATAATCCCCCACCCCCCCCAAAGAAAACAACCACTTATATTTTGGTGTGTAACCTTCCATTATTTTTTCAAATAAATACACTGATTATACAAAAGAGCTCTGCATATTTAACTTCATATTTCATTATGAAAACATCCCCATGGTATTAGGTATTCTTTAAATATATGCTTAATAAGGTTGCCCACATCCCATTATGTGGATCGTTTGTGGAAGAATTCAAATAGCGATATTGGGCAGGTATGATGTTTCCATATTATAAGCAATATTGCAATGAATATCATTTTGTAGATAAGTCTTTGTGCTCATCTTTTATTTCTTTGGAATATTGTTTTGGAATGAATTGTGTCTTCTCTCCCTCATCAAATTTATGTATCTCTATTTTTAAATCTTCACCTGAGGGTCTTTTTAAAATTGATCTTGAGAGAGAATGGCACAAAGAGATGATAGGAGGGGGGGGACGGTTAGGGTTATGTGGCACTCACACTCAACATTGCCACAAGATGGCTGCCACAAAGATGGCCACCACAAGATGGCCGTGCACACAGCTGAGGCAGGGCCCGGCAGCTGCTCTGTATAGTGAGGCCTGGGAGTCCAGTGGTTTCCCGCAGCATGAAAGAGGTTGGTCTTGGCATCTCTGCCGCCTTATACAGAGGAGGCAGGTCCCAAAGGAGGAGGCAGGTCATGGCAGGGGAGGGCAATTGGGGGTGATCGGGCCAGCAGGGGAACAGTGAGGCATCAATCAGGCCATCAGGGGAGCGGTTAGAGGGTGATTAGGCTGGGAGACAGAAGCATTTAGGGGCAATCAGGCAGGCAGACAGATGAGTGGTTATGAGCCAGCAGTCCTGGACTGTGAGAGGGATGTCCAACTGCCGGTTTAGGCCTCATCAGGATCAGGCCTAAACCGGCAGTTGGACATTCCCTGAGGGGTCCCAGATTGGAGAGGGTGGAGGCTGGACTAAGGGGCACCCGCCCCAGTGATGAATTTTGTGCAACAGGCCACTAGTAATTACATAAAGGGCTAAGGAGTTTTATTTTTATTTAGAAAACATTTTGTATTAAAAAAAATAAGTTATCATTGATTTGAGAGAGAGAGAGAGAGGAAGGGAGAAGGAAGAGAGAACAACTGATGCGAAAGAAACATTGATCAGTTGCCTCCTACTGGAGATGGAGTCTGCCATGAGGCATGTGCCCTGACTGGGAAAAGAATTGTTTGGCTACCACTGAGTACATGGCATGGTGGTCAACCAACTGAGCCACATTGTACAGGACAAAGAGTGACCTTTTCATAGCTCTATCACATTTCATTCTTTAGAAATATATTGATATAACCAGTATTATATTGCTGAATATTTGGTTGTTCCCATTCTTTAACTATTGTAGGGTTATAAAAACAAAACAAAAAACTTCACACCTAATTGACTAACTAATTAAAGATTAAAAGTAAGAGTATAGCCAGGACCAGTTTGGCTCAGTGGATAGAGCATCGGCCTGCGGTCTGAAAGGTTGTGGGCACATCCCCGGTGGAGGGTGTGCAAAAGGCAGCAGATCGATGATTCTCTCTCATCGATGTTTCTAACTCTCTATCCCTCTCTCTTCCTCTCTGTGAAAAATCAATAAAATATATATTTTTTAAAAGTAGGAAAATACTAATAAAACTTACAGTTTAAAATATTAATAATTTCATATTTAAGCATGTTACAGGTAGAAGCGGTTCCAGTTCCTCTTTTCACTGGTCTCTATCATATATGTGTATTGATGCCAATGGCTGGATAGGCCTATAACATCCTGATGCCAGAAATACAATCCACAGAGAGAAAACATATCAGATATGTCTGCTGACAGACATGAAAGAAAGCATCAAATCCATGTGAGAGCTTAAATGTAAAACTAATGTCATCAGCATTCCTTAATACCCTTCTTTCTATGATCCCTCTATAAAAGCCTTTTGCCTACCCTGAGACATTATGATGGTTTTTAAGGCATGAGCCTGCCATCTTCTCAGGTAGTCAGCACCTAAATAAAATCACTTTCCTTCCATTAGCAATGGTGTTGTGTATTTGGCTTCACAGCAGCAGGTAAAAGAACCTGAGGGTTGCCAAAACAGGATTAGCTCAGTGGATAGAGCCTGAGGAATGAGAGGTCCCGGGTTTGATTCTGGTCAAAGGGCATGTCCCTTGGTTGCGGGCACATCCCAGTAGGGGGTGTGCAGGAGGCAGCTGATTAATGTTTCTCTCTCATTGATATTTCTAACTCTCTATCCCTCTTCTTTCTTCTCTGTAAAAAAATAAAAAATATATATATTAAAAAAAAAAAAAAGAACCCGAGGGTCATTTGGGCCAGTTTCACTATCATAAAACATGCTGCAATAAATAAACTTATACATGTCATATTACTTATGTGAATAGGCATGTCTACAGGACAAGTGTCAGAAATGGAATTACTGTGTATTTTAAAATTTGGCAGATATAGAAAGCCCTCCATACAGGTTGTATCAATTGACATTACTATGAGCAGTATTGGGATGGGGGGAGAGTTAGGATTCGAACCCAGACAGCCTAAATCGGAATTCATGTATGTCTTGCCCTAGCTGGTTTGGTTCAGTGGATAGAGCATGGGCCTGCGGACTTAAGGGTCTTGGGTTCATTTCTGGTCAAGAGCCAATACCTCAGTTGCAAGCTCCTCCTTAGCCCAGGCCCAGATGTGGGTGCATTCAGGAGGCAACCAATCAATGTGTTTCTCTTACACCCATGTTTCTCTCTGTCTTTTTCTCCCTCTCTCTAAAAGATCAATGGAAAAATATCCTCAGGTAAGGACTGACAACTACAATAACAAAAATAATCCATGAGTGTCTTCTGTCACCCTAACAATGAGATGGGCTTTCCCCGGTCCCACCCAGGACAGCCTTTTGAGGGGGAAATCATCCCAAGCCCATATCTTATTCACATTGGAGATAGATTCCATTCAAGCACATTGGGTTTAGTAGCCACCTTCCCTCTCGATGGACCCACTTCTTCCTGAGGCCACATGTGTCAACGTGAATTCTGACAATAGGACCAACATTCCAATTTACTGCTTCTTTGTTGCTTTTCTTTCTCTTTCCTAAAATGCCCAAGATAGATAATACCAGGTCCCACCCAGAGGCCCTGGTGATACTCAGAGTTAATAGAGCTGAGTTTGGCAAGGCTGGGTCAGCTCCAGCCCCACCTGCTGGATTTGGAGATTCTGTGTTTCCAAACCTCCTCCCACCCCTGACTCCAGCCATGTGGCCAGTGCTCCCAGCGTGAAACTTCACTTACCCCTAAAACTTTGGCTTCTTTAAAGGATCTCTGGGCTGGTTGCATAGACACAGGCGGCTCTAAACCAGGTGGGTTCCCAGAAATTTGGTGGACTTGGGGCTGGGTGAGTGGATACAGGGGCACCTGAGACATGCTTTCGGGGATCACAGGATGCCCGTTGTGGGGTGCCATCACAAACACAGAATTGGCCGTGGGGCCTGCTGAAGTCATCAGATCCATGCTGTTAAGGTTTAAATGCAGTAGAGTCATCCCACACATGTGCACTAATATTTACATTGGAAATAACTTTTGCTTTTCATGAACTCATTTGAGCATCTAAATCCCCTATGAGTTTATTGTTTGAGATAGTAGGCAGCAGTTAGAGAGCACAAATGCAGTCAGTGCATTACAAATACATCTCTTTGGTTCCTCACACCTTGCCAGTTTTCCAGGTGAGAAAACCGAGGCCCAACGTGGCTGAGAACTATGGAGAGCAGAGCTGTGTCATTTCACTTTTGTAGCTCTCATTGTGTTCAGCAGGACATTTTGCACAAAGTGGTATTTCAACATTGCAGAGCTGGAGAGTGTCCAGGAGAACTTTGACTCTAATTCTTTCAATTTTTGAAAAAAGGAAACTAAAGCTGAGAGTGTGGCCACGAATTCCCCTAGTTCCCAGTCATATAAATATTTGTTAAATGGAGATCCTTATCCTCCAAGGAAGCCCAATGTCAGGGCTGAATATACCCACTGGGGGGCTCATGCTGCTTAGGGTTCTTAAAATTTCATTTTTAAAATTTCTTTTTTTTTTTTTTAAAGAAATACAAAGTAAGTTAAATTTATTTTGTTTCTTCCACTGTGCATTTCATTTGGATACAGAACTCTTATGTTTCATGCAGGAAATTTCGAGAAAAAGTTAAAGTGAATTGTAATAACATATCAGGAAGTAACTTTTAAATAAACCTTAGGTAAAGATAAATGGCTCACAGAATTCCATAAACGTAACATTGAGAAGGAAAACCCCTATTTTGTAAAAACGGCTGTTTGGAATTTTCTGCTGTTTTTAAAAATGTTTGCTTTCTAGTCTGTGTTAGCCTGTTTGAATAATGATGAAGATAAACTTAGCTGAATGACCTTGTAGGCCAGAGACCAGATATGCCCATAATTCCAATGCCATGCCAGGTGCATTTTTTATTTGGATAGAACTGTATTGTTTTCGAGGCCAGCATCGAGATAACCACTAAGTGCACATATGGCTGTCTCTTTAATAAAAAGAGAAGTTCTGCTTGTAGCCTTGCTTAGAATTTAAATTCATTTTCTCTAAGCCCATCGCACGATGAATAAAGTGAGTCTCTCCAAACTCTCCTCCTGCATTGTTTGATTGTTCGGGAACTCTGTAACAGCATAACAAATACATTTGAAAATAAAATGGTACGGTACATCTTCAGAAATACTCACCTCTGATGATTGGCCATGTTACTAGGGCTCTCAGCGCTAGAATAAAATAGAATTATAAAATAACTTACCAAGCAGACCTGAATCTCCCATCTGAAAGAGTGAATTCTTTGGGGCATTTTACCTTTGGGTGGATTTTTAATCTATTTTCCTATTCTTCAGACACTACTTGCATTTTCTCCTCAATGCCATAAACTGATATATACATATATATATTTAAATATTTTACTGTCATAGATATCCCTTCTATAAGGTTCTTATTGTAACAACAGTAACAATATTTACTAGTTATAATTTTAATAGCTACCTCTGAGTATCTGGTAAGTAACTTGGTATAATATTATGACACTTTCCTATGGCTTATTTCTAAGCTGCTCTCACAGATCTTTATACACATGATCTATAATTTTTATAACTCCGTGTGTGGGGGGGAGAGGTAATATATTACTACTCTTGTTTTATAGAGATGGTAACTAAAGAGAAAAAAAGTTTCATATTTCCAATTTAGGATCCAATGACAGATTTTGAACAATCTCTGGCTGCAAAGTCTTCATGATTTTTCTTAAAGGAAAGTACTTTGTATTAGGAATTATAAATTTTGCAGCTTCAAACAGAATTCATTTATTAGCTCAAGTCTGTGAAGGTCAGAAGTCTGGCATGGCTGGGGTCCCTGATCAGGGTATGATAAGGCTGAAAGCAGAGTCCTAACCTTTTCCTTTTTTTTGTTTTTGTTTTTTGTTGAGGGCACCCTCAAAAGCTAGTACAATAAACCCTGCTATCCTCACACCCACAGTTATCATTTGGCAGGAAAACCTTATCAGAATGCCTGAGCTACTCATAAAAACCCTTAAATTAAGTATACTCACTTTGTTCTGCCAGTGGCTAAGTCTCCTTTGCTTCTCTTCCCCAGGGCTTGTTGTGTGCAACTTGTTTTTCCGGAAAGAACAAACCCACCAGGTTCAGTTACAAAATCTATTTAGAAAGATTCAAAACAAAGTCCTTCTCCTAGGGGCAGGGCAGGTTACCAGCTGCCAGGAGCTCAGCTTCCCCACCCACATATACTTCCTATAATTGACAAGGAACCAATTAAATGCAGTTCAATTGTAACAGCTACCCCAGTGTTTAATGGTATCTGTGCAGAAAAGAAAGGGTTGCTTGAGCTGGGAGGACAGAAAAACAAATGCATCAGAGGAGAAACAGAAACCCTTCATCATGTAGTTTCATTGCTTCACCTGAAGTTTCACTGTTGGCTTCCCAGAAAGCAGATTTCTGCTGGACATTTGCCAAAATTCTTACGGTCAGCGAGGGAGGAACTACAATTAGCTTACTAGTATAGGGACACTGTATGTGAATTCCTTTATCACTTTTAGTACATTTTATTCTAATTCTGTTTAATAGTTAGAATAGTATAATTTTTTTTTAATTTTCTGTTACAATATTGGGATTTTTGTACAACCTGCCCACATTTCTTTTTTAGAGACACAAAGTAAGCTAACTTTATGTTGCTTATTCCACTGTGCATTTCACTTGAATTCAGAACTCTTATTTTGGATTCAGAACCCACATTTTGGAGGGAAATCCTGAATTAAATGTCCCTCAGATTATCCTATTTTGCAGTCTTACTGGTACCATTATAATTAACCCAGTTATTTTGTATTTACTTATTTATTAACAGAAAAGTGGCAAAAAGAAGGCCAGATAATACAGGCATGCCATTTGTACAGCTCTGCCAGGAGGAATCTGCCACTTAACACTCTCCAGGTCTGTTGCCCGCACACCACTGGGGGAAGAGACTAGATAATAGATGTATGCCCAGAAAGGTCTAAATGAGGTAAAGGACACCTGGGTTCAGAGCATTGGCCAGAATAGACATGGCCACCACAAGGGTGGAATTTGAGCTAGATAAGCTCTGATCAAAGGACTTTTCTCTCTTGGCCCTCTTGTGTTCCTGGCTCCCCTGTAACAGGGGGGCGTGCTCCCCCTGCATGCACCCATGTGACTCACAGCCCTGTGGACTCCATACAATGGACAGATGCACTGTGACTATACTGATGCTAGTCTCAACTCAACTCCTTCAATGGAATGGAAACTTTGGGCACTGGCTTTGCTTCTAGCTCTGCTGAAGCCCCAGCTGCACATTTTTCAGGACTGCTTTAAGAGAAATGGGACTTTGTAACCTTGAATAAACCTTTTTACCATATCTCATTCTCCCATGTGAGTCTTAGGAATTTCTTTTTCTCAGGATATCGTAAGAATCCCACTAGCAATGGAAAAATTTCACCTGTGCAATTCTCTGATAACATAACCAGTTACTGCTCTAACAGCAGAAAATGGATCTGGATGGGCAAGTGGGGACTTGTTTGCCTCCTTGGTCTAACCCAACAACAGGTCTGAGCCCCTCTGCCAGGGAATGGACCTTCTTGGATGCCGGGTATTTGACGGAGAAGCCCTGAGAAATTGTGGGTATATAAGAGAATCTTTAATGTAGCCCAAGTAGCCATTGCTGAAACATGAGCTATTAGACAAAGCAGTTCTTCAAAGTACAGTCCTCAGCAGCCTTACACCAGCTAGGTAACAATACATCTTTCCTACAAAGTAACAGTAGCCTCAACATAAGAGCTATACAGGAACCACCCTTAGAGCTACAGCCTAACTAAGTAGCCACCTCTGAGCCTGCTACCTGCTGGTCAGTAACATACTTTAATACTAACTTAGACAAAAGAGGCTTCTTTCCAAATAGTGACCTCACTGTTTTTGGGTTATAGAAGGGCACCCTTTTGCAGTATACATACAGTAAGAAAGTGTGTCCTTGCTTCTTGCACCTGCTTATAGCAACTTATTAGGAGTCCCATGCTCAGAGTGGCCTTGAACATCCAACACATTCTAGACAGGGTCCCCACACCCACCCTGCCCCAAATGGAGGCCAACATGACATCTATGGCTATTTTTATTTAAAGGAAGAACTTGGAATTCTAATCATGCAAGTTAACACAGGGGTCCCAATAAATGATTTCAGGTTTCCTCACTGAGCAGAATATAGTCAAATACTGATACAGTTAAATAGTTTACCCTTTGTTCTCCCTTTGTGATCTTCAATAATAATATGCTTCATGTTAATATTTACTGCTATGTTGCTGACAATTGCCTGAAAGAGAAGTTGGGGTGCTTTACTAGGCTGGAAAAAGTTTAGCTAAATCAGAAAGCAAGTCTAATTATGTAAGTTTGTTCTATATATATAAAAGGTTAAGTTGACTCACACATGCGCAATACATATAAAGCTCTCACTGGTGCCAATTGCATGCGTGTGTTTCGATCTGTCATTGTTGACCGTGAATTTGGTTGACACTTCTATCATAGAGAAAGGGTGAAGAGAGAAATATTTCTTCTAATTAATTTCCTTTCTATGTGTGTGAATCTGTGCACCAGGACACTAGCAAGTAACAAATAACAAATTAAGTTATAAAGGAGTAGACTTATTAGTCTAATATAGGAGAAATAATAATAAAATATTAATCTGTGTAATCACAATCAAGGCAAAGTACAGAATGTGAAAGTAGAGAAAATTAGTATTTTTATAATTAACCAAGGCAAATATAATATCAATTCCCTTTGTTATGACATAGGAAGAGAAATTGAAAAATATTCCAGAAAAATGTATGCACCAAGAGAGATCCCACTATAGGTTGAGACATATGTTCACGTGATGTTCTTAATATAATCTTGGATACTATCACCTTCAAAAAGCAATGAGGTATCAGAATGTACTGCAAAATGAAATGGTCATAAAAATGGCTTGATAACCCTGGGAAATTTCTGCCCTCCATCGATGGAAACTGCATTTTCATTGATCAATAGGTCTCCAAGGTCTCTTCCAGCTTTATTTGTCATTGATCTGAAGAAAATGGGAGTGAATGAAGGTGTGCAGACAGATGGCTTGTGGGACAGTGCAGGGCAAGTATGTAATTTTATTACCTGCTGGAGGCAGTGAGCTATCACTCCAAGTTGGAGAAGGAACCCTCTTGGCTGATGGGCCTAGCACACAGAACTAATAAAGTAGGTAGTATGATAAAAGAGAGAGAGAGAGAGAGAGAGAGAGAGAGAGAGAGAGAGAGAGAGAGAGAGAGACTCTTTTCAAACTAGCCCCGCGGTGATTTCAGCAGGGAAGGTGAAAGGTATCCATCTCTGGAGAAGCACCAGGTGTGTTAGAAGATGCCTTCTCTGAGATGATGCACATGTAGGAGGTGAAACTCAGAGTGTTTATGTTAACCCACAGGTCAAATAAGTCAGGAAGGAGGCTCTGAGAAGAGAGTGTAGGATCAATTTGGAGGACTGGAGATCTGTGAAGTGAGAAGATGTCAAATCCGATGGGGCAGTAAGAGGCAACAACAAAGACGAGAAAGGAGAGAGGGCCAGACTCACTCTGACCATCCAGCCTTCCAAAACTGGTCCAAACAAGTCATCCCATGGTGGGGAGCTCAGTGTACTAACATTGGACTCAGCTCACAAAACAGATAGGTGGAGGACTGGGCTAAATTAGAATAGTATATGCTCCGACTGACATTTTTTTGTTGTCTGTCATTTCTTAAGATCCACTAAGTTCTAGAAAACACACTGTATGCCTTGAAATCTCAGTTGTTCTTGACTGGCTGATGGTATCCAAAGGCTCCTCGATCAGAGAAGGCAAAGTCCAAAAAGAGACAGAACTTTGAACATCGAGCCATTGAGAAGAAACTTCTTAGGTAAAGTCAGAGCCTAAAAATATTTACAAGAGTTAAAACATGTCTGTACTTAATAATAATAATAAGAGTGATTGTCAGACTGTGTAGCAAAGGAAAACTTGATGGCACCTGGGATTTACAAATTATTTCTATAATCTGTGGGCATGTAACCTTTAGGGAGCCAATTGGCCATCATGGGTAACTATATTTAAATTGAAAAAGCAGATATCTTGAAGTTATGTATATAACTTCTATGAATGAGTTTGATCCTTTGTTAAATAAAGATATAATTGCCTCATAACTTTGGAAGATATCTTAAGATAATGCTTGTTCTTGAGTACTATTGCATCAATGGCAATAGCATATAAAAAGCTAGTAATTTCAGTGGATGATTCTCTCTTAAGGTCTTCTCAAAATAATGGTATATTATTGTAGGAAGCAGTTATAGGGTTAAGCATCGGACTGATCTGCTGGAAAGCCACAAACAAGTCCCAGCTTAGAGGGCACAGCCCCCTTAGCATAATTAAGCTTGATCTTGTGACTGCTCCCTAAATCTTTCCTGGGTAGCTAATGGGCTGCGGGAGGTGCAACAAGTACTGCCAAAACAAATGAAACTTTCAAGAACATTGTAAATTACCTTGTTTACCTCTGACTATAATTAAAGCATCAGCTTGCAGTCTGGATCTGTTCTGTGGTCTCAGTCACACAGATAAGATCCACCTAAACCCAGCTTATTCTCTTTGTCTTTTCTTCATCCTTCACCAGCCCTTCCTCAGGCTCTCTGAACCTTTGGTTGTGCTGGCGCAGCACATATTATTACACTAAAAAACAGCATAGAAACCACACATTCTCTTTTAATGCCCCAACAAATACTGCTTCCTCAACCAGGCTTGTTCTCTGCTTCACCCGTCACTGTCAGAATAAATCATTTCCCTCTCTGATCTCTCTGTACTATTCCCTCATTCTGCCTTATGTTAAAGAAAACTGCTTGCATGTTCTTCTCTTGTGAGGCAGAAGTTCCTTGAAGTCAAGGACTTTACAAATTCACCATATTTACCCTCATCCTGCCATTAATTGAGTTTTGAACGTAACAAATGCTCAGAGTACTTTTATTCAATGAGTGAATGATTGGGAGAATGAAGCTTGGGTTGTCTAGACATTTGTTTCATTAGCTCATAAGCTCACACAGGAAAACACATGAATATATGCACTAGACATCCCACAGGTGGATGTCTTAGGGAGGACCTCTTTGCTCAAATACACTTTAAAGTTTCCTTTTAAATGGAAAAACAGCATGATTAACTAAACTGAAGCGAATGAAGTACAGGGTGCCAAGAGTTAGAAAGAAATTTTCCTTAGTAAGAGAAGGGATAAGCTGAGTTTCAGAAGACCAGAAAGGGGAATTCTTCTTTTAGTTCCAGTGGAAGATGCTTCTAGAACCATTGGCTTATTTGGAATCTAGTCTTCACTGGAATAAGATGGTGAAGAGTTCACTGGTTCAAGATCGACCACTGGTTCAAGATCGGCCACTGGGTATGTCACTGGTTCAGGATCGGCCACTGGGTGTGTCACATAGACTGTTTGAAAGACCACAGTGCCCTGAAAAAGACAGGTACATGGAGGTACATTAGTCAGAACCACAATTGCACAAAGGCCTTGATTCTGGGATTCCCTATGTGCCTGGGAAAGAAGGGGAAGCTTGAAAACCTCTCTAGGCTTCACACTCTTTAGAGCATCTTTCCACCCACTGAGGATTCTACACACTTACTTTGTTACGTGAATAACAGATGAGTTTGCAGCCAAAGTGGGCAGACACACAGGCAATGCAGCATTCCAGGAGGCTAAAGATGAACATCACAGCAGAAGTAGATACTCCAAAGGCCTAGAACCAAGAGGAACACAGAGGTGATATAATGTGAGGTCTGGGGGAAAGAAAGAGAAGAGAGCAACCAGTGTGGGTGCAGAAATAACAGCTGCAGAGCCTGGAAGCCAACGGGAAGTCCACCAAAGAGAAGGAATGATTGGACGCTTAAGTAGAGGAGTTTTTTTGAGAACTGAGGCTAAAAGTATGGCTAGCATGGGTTAAGAGAGATTATGAGAGGAGAGAATTGGAGACAGTGAGGCAGACAATTCATTTAAGGAATTTTCTGCAAAGAGAGCCAGAGAAATGGAGTGGTAGCTAAAATAAACAAGAGAAGGCTAGTTATCAAAGATGAGAGACAGAAGTGTGTTCAGATGTCGATGGAAAAGCTGTAGCAAATGGCAGGTAGTGATGTAGAAGAGAGGTGGGGCCAGGGAGAGGGGAGAAGCACATGGAGTGATAACTTGAGTGAGCAGAGAGGGTAGGGCTGCTATGTAGAGGAAGACATTGATTTGACATGGACTCATCTATAGCTGAATTTTTAGATGTTAGCCAAGTGTCCCCTGAGAACTTGAGATGTGTTGTAAATTCAAATTACACACAGGATTTCTAAAATGTGGCACCTAAAATGCAAAATTTTGAATTAATAACTTTCTTATACTGGGTATACTTTCAAATGATGTTTTGTATTTATGGGGTTAAATAAATGTATTGTGGAAATTAATTTCAGTTTTTTTCACTCTTTAATACAGAGACTAGAAAAGGTAAAATCACACATGTAGCTTACTTTAGATTTCTATTTAACAGAATGGGTCTATAGTATTGGTGGCTCATTTGCCTATTCATTTCTATGGCTGCTTTCACACTGGATTGAGAACTTGCAACAGAGACCAGATGGCCTGAAAAACCTTAAATGTTCACACTATATCCTTTTTTTAAAACACCTTTGCTGACCCTTTTCTCCATAGTAATGGGCAGGAACATGAGCAGATTTGTGGGTATCTGCTGTATAACTGCATTTAATTCTCCAAACAATGTCAAAAGGTAGGTATTGTTTTATAAAGATGGAAATAGGATTAAGAAAAGTCACTTGCTTAGAGTAATAGCCATAAAGATACAGGTAAGGGACTTGAAACTCTGTTCTGATTTAGAGAGCTTTGTTTTCTTTGGTGCTTAGTAAAGAAGCCTGGTGGAGTCAGGCCTTTTCCAATGATTTCCTAAAGATAGCTACATTGGAATCCACAGGAGAATTGGTCAAGAGGGATACTTACCACACTGTAATGGTAGGGGTCCTTGTACTTATTTAGGGAGCTGATAACCATATCTGTGATGAGGAGCAGGATTCCAACCATAGAACAGATTGCACTGGCAATATTCAAGCCCAGGCTAATTTTCAGCTGAAGAAGGTACAGAGAAGGTCAGTATGAGAGAGAAAAACAATTGTAGCTGATATGAACAGAGATTCAACAAGTGCTTCATAATTTGAATTTCTGGAACCCTAGATGCCAGGCAAATAAAGAGATGTCTTGTGCAAAATACAGTAGGCTTGGGGATAAATTAACTTTGAAAACACTTGGGTTACACAAAGTTAGGTCTTTTGTGCAGGACTTCTCAGAGCCTTTAATAAGGAATATGGATCCCCTGGAGAGGAGACTATTAAATAGAGATCCCTCCCAAGTTATTTAACCATCTCCATAAAGTATCTCATGGAACAAGTATCCCCAAGAATGTTTAGGAATCATTGGATTCATCCCACAGGACATGGCTAGAAGACTCAACCAATGTTTTGGGATGTGACCAACTCTAATGCTCCATGATTCTGGTCCATGTGCAGAAAGGCATGCCCAGAATTGGTCTTCCCTGTGGAGTTTTTAAATAGACCTCATCTGGTGTGGGACCGGGCCATCCTGAGGAAACAATGGTACTCTCTTGGTCCAATACTTGGGGCCAGCAAGCTTTTCCCATGTTAATTCACAGAATTTGTTTGAAAGGATTCCTTTGGGAAGCTGCTGCTTGAGCTTCCTCTGGCTTCCCTGTAGAAATTTCTGGCACTGGGCTCTGTGTGCTGCAGGCAGTCAGTGCCTGCTCTGCTGGAGGAGAGCCCTGTGCCCCTGGTAATTTTTTTTTTTTTTTTTTTTTTTTTTTTTTTTTTTTTTTTTTTGCTCCTCTTGTAAGATCGTTTTAGGAAAGTTATTCTCTCTGTCTCTCCATACCCTGAAGCTACCGAATCTTCCACAGAATCTTCTTGGACTCTTTTTCCATTTGTGACTGTCCAGGTTCACATGGTCTTATAAGTGAGTATGAGTGAACATGCATGTCAGTGCCCTGTATGTGGTTATAAGTAGGTATATGTGCAAGGATGAAGGAGGCACTGTGTGTAAGCTTCTTTCCCCCATTGTGTGTCTCTCCTAAGGGTTCACATTTCAGAGAGCCTGTCTCAGAATATGACTCACCAGGCAAGGAAATCTTGGTAGCTTCTCTGATTCCACTGAGAGTGATCCTGTAATGATGAACTGGCACAAAAGAGAGGGAGTTTAGAAAAAGGTCAGTGGTCAGGGCCCCACCTTCACACACATATTCTCTCACACATGCTAGGATCCTCTGCTGTGATCTCATACTCAATTTAGGGAAAATAAGTAAATTAAGGAAGGAAGGAAGGAAGGAAGGAAGGAAGGAAGGAAGGAAGGAAGGAAGGAAGGAAGGAGGGAGGGAGGGAGGGAGGGAGGGAGGGAGGGAGGGAGGGAGGGAGGGAGGGAGGGAAGGAAGGAAAGAAGGAAGGAAGAAAGGAAGAAAGGAAGAAAGGAAGGAAGAAGGAAGGAGGGAGGAAGGAAGGAAGGAAGGAAGGAAAGAAGGGCTATTTTGTACCACATGACAGGGCAGTGACTAGGAATAAATATATAATCCTGTATACCAGTTTTTAAACTCTAACTTGAAACTCATGTGATCTTATGTAAATTACTAATTTTTCTCAGTGTATATTTCCTCTTCAAAAAAATGAGGAAAACTGTATGTCTTCCTAAGTGTTATTATCATGAGATAATTTGTCCCTTGCTTTTAGCATTTGGTATATCTTGCCTATTCATGGTAGATCCTATTCATGGTAGATACTCAATACAATTACTTCTTTTCTTGCCTTTTTTTTTTTCCACACAGGCACATCTTGTTGACCTCCCAAAACAATTCACTCAGGCACAGGGGCTCTGGAGAGAAGGAGGAAGGAGTTCACACACTTTCACTGCTGAAATATCAGCCCAGTGTATCTTTTAGTTACTCCAAAGAATGATGCATCTTAGCCCTCAAATATGAGGGCTACAGGGTTGAATGTTTGGGTTTATTTCAACACTGATGTTCTGCAGACATAGTGGCTGATGGAATTCTCTGCTGTCAGTGAAGGTTAGAGAGCGCATCAGCTATGATTTAATAGAAGCTTTGCTACGTCCTACCTGAACTACTTTTAACTTTGCCTTACTTAACTCCATGATGGCCCATCAAGCACCATTATTATTCCTATTTTTTAGAGGGGTGGACTGAGGCTTAGAGATTTTGAATAACACACCCAAGACCATCCAGCTAATGGTATATCTGGGAGTCAAATCCAGGTAGTTGACCCCAGAACTCATGTTCGTAACCCTCATCCTAAACTCATTCTACTTCGGGGAATGGAAATTGATATTCACAATGAAAACTTACTCTAGCCACCTGTACCTTCTAAGAGAAATGCCATATTTCCTATAAATGAAAAAATAAATGTGAACCATTATGTCCTTCTTTTTATACAGACTTGAAGGGGAAGGAAAGAAACAGAAGGCTGGACTTCTGATGTCCCTGCTGGTCCTTTTGAGATGCCTAAGGAGAGGGCCTTTGGTTTGGAGGAGGACCATATGACCTTTAGGAAATAGATAGTCCTGGAGTCAAGAAGGCAACAAGGAGCAAAAGTGTCCTGTAGAAAAAAGGGAGGGTGGTGTCATAAGGGTGATGGGACTTGAGCAGCCTGGTGGAAGGGGAGATGGCCAGCAAGGCCTTTGAGATGACTTAAGAGAATCTAACACTCAATAGGAACTGTTTTGTGATTGGGGTGTTAGTCTTCTCCATTTCCCCCAAACTCCACAGAAGTCTGTTTATACACACAGGTGTCTATGGTTGACTGAATTCCAAGTCTGGGTCTATGCTGAACAGAAAGAGAAGACCTCAGCCTCAGAAGATGAGACAAGAATGGGAACAAGAAAGAGCAGGTACTCGGACAAAAATGCCCCCAAGAATCTAAGCCCTGTCATTTGCAGATGCTGTGTGTATATGAGGGTGGTGGATGACTCTAGGCTATTTTTATTTAAAGCTCAGTGTATGGTGACTTGGCTGATGTCCAGATTACTCTGTAGTTTTGCTATTTATGAGAAAAGTTGCCTTGGGTCACAGATAAGTGATTAGAGAGAAAAACTGTGTTTTGGCATTTAGAGAAGGACATGGTTTGTGGGAGAGGGATTGGAGTGTATGTGAGTACGTGCCTTTAGTAGTGGGAAGACACTAAGAAGAGTAGAAAACAATCATAAAGGCAATACATTGGAAAGAGAAAGGACCTCTGGTTCTTAACCTTTCTAGAGGTTCTAGATCACTCTGAAAATGTGATAAAAACTGTGGACTTTTCCAGAAAAAAACCCCAAACATCTAATATACCAAATATTTTGCTACAAGGTGGACTCTGAGCCCATCAGGGGACTCTGGGTTGAGTTCCTAATGCTTAATGTCTGTTCTGTAGCTGAGCAGCCAATCTTAACTCCTGGTGGAAGCGTTTTTCTCCTGGAGCACCAGTTCTGAGCCTGAGTCCAACAACGCTTGAGCGCTGGGCTGATGAGCTAGGAAAAGGTTTCTTAACCTCTGAGGTGGGCTAATTAGGAATCTGCCTGCTTTGAGGCAATGGTACTTTACAGGGCTGTCACTTGGTATATGAACTGAATTTTGCCTCCTCATAATCCATCTTTTGAAGTCTAAACACCTAGGACCTCCAAAAAACTGTATAGACATTTTCAGACTCACTATAGTTTGCCTTGTGATTTTTTATTTTACAATGGTGTGAAAATTATATGCATTCAGTAGAAACTGTTCTTTGGATTTGAAGTTTGATATTTTCCTGGGTGAGTTATATGTGGTGATGCTGGACAGAAGCAGCCAGCCTCAGCTCCCTGTCAGCCACACAATCACTAGCCTAAACTAGTTAGTGACTTATGTTACTTACCATGATGCCTCCCCAGAAGGGATAGCCTCCGTAGAATGAGAAAGCGGTGTAGGGCCCACGCATGATGGTCCCCATGATGATGCCCAGGCTAATATGTATCAGGCCACTCAGGATCTGGATGGCCTGTCAGGAGAGACAAAAACTGAGACCTTTGTCTCTAAGGCTGGATAATACATTGATTTAACCAGTATTATGTTGATAAATATTTTGGTTATCCCCATTCTTTTCCTATTATAGCAGGGTATAGGATATAGGATATTTAAAAAAAACACACACAAAAAAACTCATGTCTAATTGACCAATTAATAAAGATTGAAAGTAAGATATACTAATAAAACTTGCAGTCTAAAATATTAATAATTTTATATTTAAGCATGTTATAGGCAGAAGCAGTTCCAACTCTCCTGTTCACTGGTTTCTACCATATATATATATAATAGATGCTGATGGCTGGCCAGAGATAAAACCCAGAGAGAAAAAAAAAGCAGATGCTGACAGACATTAAAGAGAGCATCAAACCCACATGAGAGCTTAAAAAAAAAACTAATGTCATCAGCATTCCTTACTACACTTCTCTCCACGATCCCTCTATAAAAACCTTTTGCCTCTCTGAGACATTAAGATGGTTGCTAAGACATGAGCCTGCCATCTTTTCAGGTAGTCAGTACCTAAATAAATCACTTTCCTTCCATCAGCAACGGTGTCCTGTATTTGGCCTCACAGCAGCAAGTAAAAGAACCTGAGGGTCATTTGAGCCAGTTTCACCATCACAAACCACGTTGCAATAAATAACCTCATACATGTCATATTTCTTATGTGTACAGATATATCTATAAGACAAGTCTCAGAAATGGAATTACTATGTATTTTAAAAGTTGGCAGATACAGAAAGCCTTTCATTCAGGTTGTATTGATTGACATTGATATGAGCAGTAAATAGGGGTGAAGCTAGGATTTGAACCTGGACAGCCTGAATCAGAATCCATGCATATATTCATTTACCCATGTAATGAAGTGGGCTTTCCCCTGTCCCATCCAGGACAGCCTTTGGGGGGGGGGGGGGGGGGCGGATCATCATGGGCTCTTATTTTGTTCCCATTGGAGAGAGATTCCATTCAAGCACATTGGGTTTGGAAGCCTCCTTCTGAACTCACTTTCTTCCAGAGGCCACATGTGTCAATGTGAATTCTGACAACAGGACCAACATTCCAATTTACTGCTTCTTTGTTGCTTTTCTCTCTCTCTCCTAAAATGTCCAAGATAGATAATACAAGGTCCCACCCAGAGGCCCTGGTGATGCTGAGTTAATAGAGCTGAGTTTGGCAAGGCTGGGTCAGCTCCAGCCCCACCTGCTGGATTTGGAGATTCTGTGTTTCCAAACCTCCTCCCACCCCTGACTCCAGCCATGTGGCCAGTGCACGCAGTGAGAAATCTCACTTACCCCCAAAACTTTTCCCTCTTTTAAGGATCTCCTGCCAGGTTGCAGAGACGGCCGTGTCTCCAAACCAGGTGAGTTCCCAGGAATTTGTTGGACTTGGGGTTGGTTAAGTGGAGTCACAGGAATCTGAGACATGCTTCCCAGGATCACAGTATACCTGTTGTGAGTTGCCATCACAAACACAGAATTGGCTGTGGGGCCTGCTAAAGTCATGATATTAAAAAGATATAAATGCAGTAGAATCACTCCTCACATATGCATTTTTAATGTTTACATTGAAATAAGACTTTTGCTTCCATTAACTCATTTGAGCATCTAAATCCCCTATGGGTTTATTGTTTTAGAGATATTAGATAGCAATTAGAGGGCACATACACAGTCACTGCTTTACAAATACATCTTGAGTCCTTTCACTTGGCCAGTTTTCCAGGTGAGAAAACTGAGACCCAAAGTGGACAAGAACTAAGGAGGGCAGGGCTGTATCTCTCATTATATCTAGTGGGGTGCTTTGTACAAAGTGGTACCTAAACAATGCAGAGCTGGAGAGTCTCCAGAGGAACAGTGACTAATTCTCTCCATTTTTTCGGAACTGAGGCTGGGAGGGTGGGCACGAATTCCCCTAGTTCCCAGTCATTAAATATTTGTTAAATGGGAATCCTATCCTCCAAGGAAGCCCATTGCCAGGGCTAAGTATATCCACTGGGGAACTCTTGCTGCTCAGTGTTCTAGGTCACTTGTGAATTCTGGTTTTGTTTTTAAATTTTCTTTCTTTTACATTTTTAGAGACACAAAGTAAGTTAAATTTATTTTGCTTATTCCACATTACATTTCACCTGGATTTAGCACTCTTATGTTTCATGCAGGAAATTTAGGGGAAAAGTTAAAGTGAGGTGAGTAACATATTGGGAAGTAACTTCTAAATAAACCTGAGGTAAAGGTGATGACTCACAGAATTCCATAAAGGTAGCGTAACAAATACATTTGAAGACATCCTCAGAAATACTCAAGAACTCAGCACTTCTGGGGATTGGCCATGTTGGTAGCGCTCTCAGCTCTAGAATATTCTAAAATGACTTATCATGCAGATGTGAATCTCCCATCTGAGAAAGTCCATTATTTGAGGCATTTTATCAGGTTGGATTTTTAATCTATTTTCCTATTCTTCAGACACTACTTGTCCTTTCTCCTCAAGGCCATAAACCGATAAACATATATTTATTAAAATACATTACCCCCATGGATGTCTCTCTATAAGGTTCTAAGTTAAGGTGACCAGATCGTCCAGGTGTTGGCAGGACAGTCCTGATTTCTAACAAATTTTCCAGCGTCCCGCGGGGTTTTAAAAAAGTCCCGATTTTTGGAAAGAATCTTTCCAATATTTCCAAACTTTCCAAAAATTGGGACTTTTTTAAAACGCCGCGGGAAACGGGAAAAATTGTTAGAAATCAGGACTGTCCCGCCAACACCTGGACTATCTGGTCACCTTATTCTAAGTTCCTAAACAACAGTGACAGCATTTATTAGTTATAATTACAACAGCTACCCCTGAGTAACTTAGTAAGTAACTTGGTATCATGTCTCTTTCACTGTAATTTGTTTCTAAGCTGCTCTCAAAAATCTTTATACACATGATCTCTATTTTTTTTTTATAACTCTGTGGGGGGAGATAATAAATATAGTACTACTCTTGTTTTATAGAGAAGGTAACTAAAAATAAAGAAGCTTCATTATTTCTAATTAAGGGTCCTGTGAAGCAGAGATTTTGAACAGTCTCTCTGGCTGCAAAGTCTTTACATAGATTTTCCTTAAAGGAAAACACATTGTATTAGAAGTTATAAATTTAACAGCTTCAAACAGAATTCATTTATTAGCTCCTGTCTGTGTAGGTCAGAAGTCTGGAATGTCTGGAGTCCCTAATCAGGGTCTGTCAAGGCTGAAAGCAAAGTTTCTAAAAAGATTGAATTTCCTTTCTTTCTTTCTTTCTTTCTTTCTTTCTTTCTTTCTTTCTTCCTTCCTTCCTTCCTTCCTTCCTTCCTTCCTTCCTTCCTTCCTTCCTTCCTTCCTTCCTTCCTTCCTTTTTTTCTTTCTTTTTTTCAGGGTTTGTCAAGACTGAAAGCAAAGTTTCTAAATAGATTGATTTTTTTTTTTTTTTTTTTTTTTTTTTTTTTTTTTTAGCAGACCCTCAAAAGCTAGTACAATAAACCCTACCATGGTCTCATCCCACAGTTATCATAAGTCTCATTTGGCAAAAAAACCTTACCAGCATCCCTGAGCTACCCGTAGAAACCATTAGATTAAGTATACTCACCTAGTTCTTCCAGCGGCTAAGTCTCCCTTGCTCCTCTTTCCCAGCGCTTGCTGTAGGCGACCAGAGAAAAAACACACTGAGTTCAATGCTCCCAAAAGAGCAATCTCACTGGGTGCAGTTGAGCAATACCTTTATGAAGATCTAAGACAAAGCCCGAGGGGCAGGGCGTGTCACTAGCTGCCTACAGCTCAGTTTCCCCACCCACATTTACTTGCTATGGATAGCAAGTGACCGATGAAATGCAGATCAATTGGATAAGTGTTTAATGGTGTTGGTGTGGAGACTAAAGGGTTGTGCGTGGTGGACAGGGAGACACAGACACGAAATGGGCACTCTTGGGCACTGTATATGGCTGCATGTAAGAGAGAAAAACAAAGCCCCCAGGGGAGAAAAAAATGAACCCTCCATCACGTACCAGTAGCTTCTGTAAGGAATGCAGGGCAATGCAATCCTTAAAGGTCATTCTTAAGCTTCCTGAGATAGGAGAACTAAAGACCAGGAAAAACTTGCTGGACACCAGGAGTCAGACCATATAAGGAATGGAAACTGTCCTGAAGATACCTGACCAAACACGTACATTCCATCCGCATTCCAAGTTCACCTTAGCACCGAAACCCACTGAAGACAAGTTTCCTGCCAGTGACTGCATATAAGGATGAAACTCCAGGGCCTGGGTGCTGCCATTATCGACACAACATCCCCTTGGCATGGCACTGTGCAGTCCTTCCTTTGGATATCCCCGTCCCTTACAGAAATTTAATTTTTTAAATCAGTGTCTGAGATGGCTATTTGGTAGCCTGCCTGTGCACCACCATGCTAAACAGCCATGTTCACCTTTCATTTTGATGGCCAAATGAAAAATTATAGAACTCTTGACAAATGACTAAAAACATAAAATTCTGGCAACTAATCAGGACAAAAGATTAGTTATTTGGAAATCTTTCTGTCTTCCAGATATAAAGAAGCTTATTTGTATTTCCCTAGAACAATCTGGTAAATTATGCCTTCATCAACAAAATGAAAGCTTTTATATTTTTCTCCTTACTTGATCCTTCCTGAATCTGGCAGTTCTTAATGAATGAGTCATGGCAATATGTTTCTTTGCATGAGTTCAATGAGACCAGTTTCCAATTGTGGAATGTCATGTCTGAATAGGATGTGCCTGAACTCTGGGCACTACCACAAACCATTCTCAAAACTGTTCAAAGCCAATCAAAAGCCACTTGCAAGAAAAAGCCTGATGCTTTGCTTGATCACATGGTTCATGGCAGTCTTTACAGGAAAGGCACAAAGGTTGCTTTCTTGGAAGCTGGCAAGGAGAGAACCTCAAGACATCATTGAGGACCTCAAGAACTTAAGAAACTCTCCCACATCTACAGTAATTGCAGAAAAACCTCATGTCAGCCAGGTGGCTCAGTACTTTGCCCTGAAGAGCTAATTAAAACTTAATCATGATGTTGCAGCAAAGCAGGTTTTTAAAAGCCCATGTAATCTTATTGTATTCATGCAAATAATCAGGCCAACTTGTAACTAGACAATATAGTAAATTAATTGCTCTTATTTTGGCTCTTCAATAAAAATGAGGGTGACATTAGGGGGAAAATTATATTTCAATAGGCTCCATATATATGGTTATAAATGTTAGACTCCAGTTCATTTTCTTCAGTTTATTTTTCACAGGAGCTAAACTGAACTAAATCCTCGAAGTGTTTTGTTGTTGTTGTTGTTGTCATTGTTTTGTTTACTTTATTTGTTTCCTTAAATATTTGGCTATAACCCTCCAAACTAATGTTTCATTTTCCTCTCATCCTTTGACTTGGAATTAGCAACAGGAACTTTTTCCTTCCACCATACTATTTATTATTATTATTGTCATTCCAGCTTTTGCTCCACAGTTCATCTCCACCAGGTTATAAGTCCTACTTGTGATACTGGAATTGGAGAGCAGAAATTTCTCCTTGGGTACTGTCTCAAGGAATCAAAGAATGAAGCAGCAGACCAGAGATGTTCAAACAAGACAGGAATTTATTGCAAACATAGGGTGGCTCCTTGGGAGGGAGATTCAAAGGGGTTGCCATAAAAGCATTCTGCTCTTCCCCTTATAGCTGCAAAAGCCTGCTCTTTGTCTATCTGTGCTGCTCTCTGATTGGTTCCTGGCCTTTCTGCAACCTTGTTCTCTTTCACTCTAAGAAAAAAACATCCGATTTCCTGCAAAACACATCCTTTGTTTGTTTCAGCTAACTCCACCATTTCTCCTTCAATCCCTTACCCCAGTGTTCTCAACCTTTCTAATGCTGAGACCCTTTAATACAGTTCCTTATGTTGTGGTGACCGCCAACCATAAAATTATTTTCGTTGCTACTTCATAACTCTAATTTAACCCACAAGCTGAGAACCACTACTGTAGGGCCTAAGACCATCAGAAAACACAGATATTTATATTACAATTCATAACAGTAGCAAAATTACAGTTTTGAAGTAGCAACAAAAATAATTTTATGGTTGTCACCACAACATGAGGAACTGTATTAAAGGGTTGCGGCGTTAGAAAGGTTGAGAACCACTGCCTTACCCTAACTACCGAATTCTCCATTAACTCCTTTCACTTATTCTGACATCATCACAACCTCTTTCTGTGCCCAGGTCTCATGGTCCCTCTGACAGAGAGCAACGATATGTAGCTCTGAAGGGAAACATTCCTTTTCAGCAGAAAGCAGTTATAGAAGAGATATGGCACCACTTCTTCCCTGAAAAAAAAATTCATTGCCAAAATTCCTTGGGGGATGGAGAGTGGGATGTAAACCCTGAGACCCCCAGAACGATGAAGATGGGCCAGGTACAGAAACTCACCAGCACAGAAAGCTCTAGATGCCTCGCAAGTAACAAAACTGGGAAAACAAGAACCTCACCCCCAAGTAACCTTTCCTGTCTTAGCATATCACTTGTCATGTGGTCTGGACTCTGGATCTTTCCTGTCGCTGGTCAGGCAGTTTAAACACCTTGACCCTTTCCTCCCTAAAGGCAACATCTAGGCCTCAGCTGTATTTCAGCTCCAGGCCCAGAAAAGCAGCAAAATGAGACAAGTTGATGCCATGGCTGGGTCAGGACCAACGTTTACCTACCTAATCACACAACAGGTTTCCTCAACTTTGGGTATACTTTTGCCTTTCAGGATGAACCTATGTAGAACAGACCTTTACATCTTGCCTAGTAGGAGTTGGAACACCTACTACTGATATACAGATTTATACTCAGTCTATTCGTTTTTGGGGGAAAGTCACATCTGGGGACCTTTATGTGTTGGGACCCACTGACCAGGAGAAGATGCCGGGATGTTTTCTCTAAAGGCTGCTGCAGTAGCTTCCTGTGGTGAATGTCTGACTTTTACTAGATGTTCTGGTTATTTTTTTAATATCTAGTAATCTATATACTATTTATAAAAGGCTGTTATGCAAAGTATCCCTTCAGGAGTTTGACTGGGAGACTGGGAGTTTGATTGCTCCCTGTGACATGTGCTGACCACAGCGGGAAGCACAGAATGAAGGACGGCCCCAATCAACCCTGATCACTGGCCAGGCCAGGGACCCTACCCATGCAGGAATTTCCTGCACTGGGTCTCTAGTTACAATATAAACTGTTCTGATTATTTTGTTCTCCCTTATAGTAATGGACATACTAAGCAGCCAGCTAGTAAGTTTCTAATATGTGGGGTAACTGTTTATTTATAATCCCTGCCAACAGCACTGGGATGCTTTGTTCATTAAGACAACAGACAGAGATAGACACCTTTGCCACCATCTATATATATATATAAAAGGCTAAGGGACCAGCCAGTAGGTATAAAGTGCACTAACCACGAGGGGTAGATGCTCAACTCAAGAGCTGCCCAGTGACAACTCTTACACTCTGGGACCCCTTGGGGGGATGTCAGAGAGCCAAGTTTCACTCCAATCCCAACAGGTCAAGCCAAGGGGCCCCACCTGCCAGAAGGACCCCGCTCACTTCCCAGGTGCCCTTCAAGCTGCAGCACTGCCCCAAATGCAGCTGGCTGGGGAGAGACCACGAGAGGTTGACTTCAAGGCTTGTCTGGTCTGTCTCTTGCCCAGCTTCCCCTCCCCCCACCCACCTTCTAATTAAATCCCTTTCAATGTGCACGAATCTGTACACCAGGCCACTAGTTAAGAATAATTATTAACAAACAGAAAGAGGAGGGTAATGTAGGACTGTACTGCAATACAATCCTTAATGGCTATTTGTAAGTTTCTCACCACAGAACAAAAAATCAGGGAAACCTTGCTGGACACCAGAATTGAAACTGTCCTGAAGATATCTGATCACACACTTACATTCCATCCACATTCCGAGCTACCTCAGCCCCAAAAACCACTGAAGAGTTTCCTGCCAGTGACTGCATATCAGGATGAAATTCCAGCTCCTGCATGCTGTCCTCATTGACCCGATGCCCCCTTGCACAGTGCCGTGCAGCCCTTCCCCCTGGATATCTCATCCCCCATCCCATTCCCTCAAATAAATGTAATATTTTTAATCACTGTCTGAAATGGCTATTTGGCCTGCCTGCACACCACCATGCTAATCAGCCATGTTCACCTTTCCGTTTCATTGCTCCCTCTGCAGCAATGAAAGATGGGAGACTGGAAGTTTGATCGCTCCCTGTGACATACTATATATATCCCTGTTGGCAGGGATATATAAATAAACCGTTACCCCACATATTAGAAACTTACTAGCTGGCTGCTTAGTATGTCCATTACTGCTTGTGTCTGGTAACAGGACATTCAGGCAACATTTCTGACAGCGATTTTGCTGGTCACTTGCCCAAATTCTTGCGGTCAGGGTTGTTCCTTGGTCAGACTATGAACTGACTGCAACTGCAATCTGCTTATAAGAAACTGTCAGTATGTGAGTTCCTTTGTTTGCTTTTTAGTACATTTCATTCTAATTCAGTTTCATGGTTCATCAGAGTAGTACTAAGTTTTTATTCCCTGCTACAGTATTGTTCTATCACTTGGGATTTCTCTACACCCTGCCCACATTTTAGAGGAAACTCCTGTATGAAAGCTGCTCCAATTATCCTATTTGAATGTTCCATCGTAGTCTTACCTGTTATCTAACTGTTTAACAGCAGAAAATAGATCTGGATGGGCAAGCGGAGACTTATTTTTTCCTCCTTGGTCTTCCCCACACCCCCTCTCCCCCGCCTCAGATAGAGACAAACATGACATCTATGGCTATTTTTTTATTTAAAGGAAGAGCTTGGGGGCCAGTGAAGGGCAAAGGAAAGCTAGGAAAATTCCAAGAAAGTTAAAAAAAATTCAAAAGGTGTGAGCAATTTGCAGCCAGCTTGTAAATAATAAACCATTATCTCCCCAAACCAGGCATGCTTGAGAACAAATGGTTAAATGACTTTCCAACTGGAGAACAGAGGAAAAGGGGGAGAAAAGACAGAAACTTTCCTCAGCCACTAATCAGCCGTTTTGGGGAATGGGAAAGGAAAAAAGGAAAGTTTTTGTTTGTTTCTTTGTTTGTTTTTAAATATATTTTATTGGCTTTTTACAGAGAGGAAAAGAGAGGGATAGAGAATTAAAAACATTGATGAGAGAGAATCATCGATCCGCTACCTCTTGCACAGCCCCAACTGGGGATGTACCCGCAACCAAGGTACGTGCCCTTGACCGGAATCGAACCCAGGACCTTTCAGTCCGCAGGCCGACGCTCTATCCACTGAGCCAAACCTGTCTCGGTTGTTTGTTTGTTTTAATTCCCTAGGCAGAAAAGCCAGCAACTTCAAGGCTTGGCAAGATAAAATTGCCAGGTGCTTCTCGTGAATTATGGAAAGGCCACAACAAAGTAAAAAGGGACCTTGAGAATTAATCTATACCAAAATATTCATCAGAAGAATTTTGTGACCTATAGACCGGAGGGTATATAATGTCTCAAACCCCCATCCAACTGGCTCTTAATATTAGCTAAGAGCCGATCTGCACTTCATAAACCAGATGTACTGATTTGCTTGCCTTGCTTCTTTAATAAATGTGCATGCTTTAATTTTTCAAATAAGAATTTATTATTGTTTTTTAAATACATATTTTTATTGGTTTCTGAGAGGAAGGGAGAGGGAGAGAGAGAGAGAGAGAGCGAGAGCGAGAGAGAGAGAGCAACATCAATGATGAGAGAGAATCATTGATCATCTGCGTCCTGCACAACCCCTTGGGGATTGAGCCTGAAACCTCGATATGTGCCCTCACTAGGAATTGAACTGTGACTTCCTGATTAATGAGTCAATGCTCAACCACTGAGCCACTCCAGCTTGGTTTTGTCACAACACAATCAGGGTCTCTCATTTGCATTCATTTAAAGAAGAAGCAAAGAAGGTGGGAACAGCCCTCTTCCTCTGATTTAGGGGAAAAGGTGCTGATGACACCTTTTCTGGGGTCTCTGGACTACCTGTGACATTTGGTGCCATGACTGAATTGGATTGCTAACCGTTAACTCTTGCCTGCGTGGTTGTCCTTGATTCCTTCCAACTGGTCACAGTGAATTCAGTTCCTTCGGGGATTTCTTTTTCTGTTTTGCCACCAGGGTTTAGGGGGTGGCAGTATAACAAAAATTAGAAAGACACATTAGACCAGTGCTCAGGGGCAGAAAATTGAAACAAACCAAATGAGTACTTGATTTGGCAAATTCCTCCATCCATTTTGGCATGACAAGAATAGAAGTGGGTGTAGCTCACTCCCTCTAGGGCCTGTCTGATAACACTTCTCTGGTGTCTGTGAGAGATGCCTGTAACATACTTATGCATATAAACACAGGGCTCCCAATAAATACATGACAACTTGTCTCCCCTGGAGAAGGCACGGCTCATAGAAAGCTCAGGGCAATGGTGTGAATATGACTTTTCCCCCCCATTGAATGGTTATATATTTTCTACTTTCTCTATGGATAAAAAGCAGTGCATGTACTCTCCAACTCACCTTATCATTAATGTATTCCATTAGATCAAGTTCTTTTCCCGCGTGTGAAAGTCCTTGTAAATTGTGAGCTGGGTGTGGGGAATTCAAGAAGATGCTAGGATGCAATCTTTTTTATTCAAAGCACTATTTCTTCAGGACCTGCATTATTTTCTAAGAAAAGAACATTTAAGGGAACCAAGATGTATAGAGGTAAATCTATCAATGTTCTCAAATTTGAAAGCCTACTTTCTTCTGGCCTTTGAGACCACTTGAGTAACCTGGGCCCCACATGAAGGGCCTTTATCCCTATGGAGAGAATGCAGTAATCCACAGCAAGGAATAATTTATGAAGTTACAGTTCTGACTACCTCTTGTGCCTTCTCAGTCTTACAAGGGAAGGCCCTCTACCCAGTTAGTGAAGGTGACTACCCACAGGAAGAGTCATAGAAACCCTTTATCTTTAGGCGTGTGGATAAAGCTTATCTGCCAGCTTTCCCCTGGGTAACCTCCGGTTCCTTGAAGACCAAGTAATACTAATTCCTGGTTGCTAGGATTGTTCCTTTGGCAGACCTCAGAAGATTTGACTGCTTGTTGGGCAGTCTTCGGGGGACCCTTTCCTGTAAATAATTGATGAATTATTTGGTAAGTCTTTTCATCCCCTAGAAGAAATGCTTGGTGTAACTTTCCACTGATTGGCTTTCGGAAGGAGGAGCTTATCCCCCTCTATCCATATCCATCCAATGGGAAGGGGAGTACAGTATGTGCTCAGGAGTCAGCCCATTCCTTTTCCTTCTGTGTGTAATAGGGCTTAATATCCCACAGGGAGTCTCCCAAACTAGAGGGGCTTCTATAGTTTTCCAAGGCTCTCAGGTGGCACCCTTGGCTGCAATAGCTGCTTCATGACTTCCCTCTGTTATTTCTCCTGTTCCTTTTTTTCTTTTTTCTTTTTTTAAATATATTTTATTGATTTTCTACAGAGAGGAGGAGAGAGGGATAGAGAGCTAGAAACATCGATGAGAAAGAAACATCAACCAGCTGCCTCTTGCACACCCCCTACCATGGATGTGCCCCCAATCAATGTACATGCCCTTGATCAGAATCGAACCTGGGACCTTTCAGTCCGCAGGCCAACGCTCTACCACTGAGCCAAACTGGTTTCGGCACCTGTTCCTTTTTGATGCCCCGTGCAATGTATGACTACGACCTCTGCAGACTGAAAAGTGGTCAATAGGAGGCAGTCAATTTCCTTATGATACTTCATTGGGGACCCATTAGCAATTAAGTAACTCCTCTCCTTCCAGATGGCTGTATGGGCATGTAAAACTGGGAAGGCATATGGAGGGAGGCCCGGGTCCCAGGTGCCAGAGGGAAGGAAATCCTACTCTTGCATGAATTTCATGCATCGGGCCTCTAGTTGAGATATACCGTATTATTCGGACCATAAAACACTCCGGACCATAAGACGCACCAGTTTTTAGAGAAGGGAAATGAAGAAAAAAAGATTCTGAAACAAAGTGTCCTAAAATATTTTATGTGCATTAAAACCCAACATCACAGTCATAAACACATGTAATCAACCCTGTAAAGTAAACAGCAGCATTTAGAACCATTTTAGAGCCGGGCAAGCACACAGAGACCACACTGAGCCGGGCAAGTAAAAAAACTTTTTTTTTTAAAGTATATGTGTAGGCTATATTTGGACCATAAGACTCAGGGACTTTTTCCCCCCACTTCTGAGGGAAAAAAAGTGCGTCTTATGGTCCGAAAAATACGGTAATTGACATAAAGTGCTGTTTAAGGTACACAGCATAACTACTTGAGTAATATATGTATATTGTGAAAAGATTAACACAATAAGTTAGTTAACATCCATTATCTAAATATGCATACAAAAAATAGTTTTTTTTTCTTGTGATGATAGCTTAGTATATGCTCTCTTAACAACTTGTAAATATACCAAATAGCAGTGTTAAGGATAGTCACCATGCTATATATTATATCCTGATACTTATGTACTTTATAACTGAAAGTTATAACTAAAAGTTTATAATTTTTGACACCACTACCATTTTTAAAGACTCACAACAAAACCTATCTGGGTAAAGATCATTCCCCTAAACGTAAAATATTTTTATAAAATAAAATGTAAACTATCTATGAATATCAGTATTTTAAAGGAATAGATGCTGCTAAGAGAAGTAGGCTTACCTATGTTAGACAGCTATAATGGCACTATATTTTTTAAAAACTTAGCTTTTTCTTAAAATTTGTAGTTTTCTTTTAAGATTTTATCCAAATTTTATGTTCAACTCTATATGCAATGTTAAGTATGTGTTAAGTGATTTACCTTGACTTCTTATAATGATAATATGTGAAAAGATCTTATGATTTAGGTATTTGGGAATTTTAAGATAATTATTAGAACACTATATGACCACTCCATAAAAATACACATCACCAT